GGGCTCAGCTGTTCAGGAGAAGCCGTATAGAAACCTATGCCCTCAGGCCAAGGACAGGAGTGACCTGGTGCTAGGCGGGTCTCAGGGCAACTGAACATCAATGCTGAGTGAGTGGCAGAGCAGGAGCAGGAAATAAATAGGCTACACAGCAAGACACACCAGAAAGACATGAGTAATCACAGGGAACTAGGAACAGGAGGAAAATAAAGCACCCTCTAGGTGTAGTGAGCGTGACATGCCATGAATTGAGAAGAATCATGGTTACTGTACATACAGTAAGCACTCCAGTGCAAATCACTTCTTCACACACCTCTTCCCACTTACACTGCTTCCGTGGAAAAAGAACAGTGAGATCTTTCTCATACAGCTACATACCATTGTGAAAGCACACTTATATCCTTGTGAAAACAAAGTGATGGTTAAAGCACCAACATATAGCATGGTATTCTACCTTTGATTGCCCCTCATTCTAACATTAATATACTGTAACTGCAGTTTTACCTCCTGTGTTTCTAAATTTTCCTCTTTGCCTTTTGTTTCTGCTTGCTGATAGTCATATTGAGAGAATCTTGTGGATGGGAAATGAACTTGGTATTCCGCACCTGCACAGCAAAAGGGCTTCAGATGTCAGTGATTTTACAGTGTGACATTCTCATTATACCTGAAGACGAATCTAATCTGTTCTCGTTTCATGCCATCTTGTGGAGCAGGGTTTGTGTTTTGATCAAATCTGAAATTAAGTCTGCAGGTTTCAGCGGTGTTCCAATGAGAATGCTCACATTTATGGGCTGTGACTGCACCACCAGGGGGGCAGCATTGTCTAAGACTTTTCTGTTTCCCAGTATAGATTAAAGCAGCATTTCGTTTTGCTGAACACACACCACTGGGATGGTGAAATATGTATGGATTATTTATTCAAAACATGGTACTGTAAGTGATGATAGTTTTTTTCCATCAAGACTTTTACTCTTCCAAGCAAACCATTTAATAATTTTTGAAGACATTTCTTCTCAGTTCTAATGCTAGATAAAGGGGCTAATTGATGCTGATAAAGGGACATAGTGGTGGCACTGTGGCTAAGGATCTGCACCCACACCTGTGGCTGGAAAGTTGTCAGTTCAAATCCCACGGCTGACAAAGGAATCCTACTCTGTTGGGCCCCTGAGCAAGGCCCTTAACCTCAACTGCTCCAGGTGCTGTATAATTGGCTGACCATGCACTCTGACCCCAAGCTTCTCTCCCTGTCTGTGTACCTGTGTGTCTCATGGAGAGCAAGTTGGGGTATGTGAAAAGAAAAATTCCTAATACAAGAAATTGTATACGGCCAATAAAGAAATCTTATCTTATCTTAATGCTGCTCTGACATTTGTCTAGACAAAGCTTCTAGTATGATGTCATCAAGTGCTTGTATCCCAGTCTGACGAGATAAACGAATAATCTCTTCCTGAGCAACTGAGCTCCAGTCCGCGGAAACCACTTTACCCCTGAGACATTGCTCATGGTCACAGACTCAGGAAGCTGTTAAACTGCCATACAGGGGCCAGTGGAGAAGTGAAACACAGACTGTACTCAGTCACTTTCACTGGGGAACAGAGGAAACTGGCTCCAGAGAATCTGTTACCTACTGTACAGTAAGCATCAATGCTACAGACCTCATACGCCACAGCAGACAACTTGGCAGAGAAGCAGCAGTGTCAATTGGTAATCGAAATTCACACACCTCAAATATAAATGATCAGAACTAAAAGAGTGTAAGTAATGATATATTATAAAAATGTCCTTTAGCAGCAGGTCAGTGGGAGAGCTGAAGGTCTCTAGGAAGATGTTCAGTACAGTGGAGTGACTTGACGTTTATTGGCTGCTAGAGGGACACGGGTCTGGCCAATCCTGGTTTAGCTGCAGCTCATGGTCTTCAGTACCTATTTGTCCGAAATCGTCGAAACTTCTTGGAGAACCCTGTAGTCCCTTCTCTGCCATCCATTCCAGTTCCAATGCCCTCTTGACATCAATGACACACCTGGATCGTTTTACTTCATGGCTTCTTAAGGCTGATTTGTACCTTTAATTTACCTGATTTGTCTAACTATTAATATATCTTCTAAAAGTTGTTATTGTTGACGTATCAATATTGTCGGGACGGTAGGCAGGTTCTGACAGAAAGCAATTGTTTTTCCTCATTAACCGAATGAAGAGATTGGGCAACACAACACTGGAGGATAAAAAACAGCCAAAAAACTTTGGTATCTGCCTTCTTTGAACATCTCAACATGACCTAAAGCTGCGTTTCTATTTGCAAGGACCTCCTCCTTGGTATGTGTATGCAAACTACAGAGCTCTCATCCTATTTAATATCTGTGCACTGACGTGCTCACTCAGGCACACTGGGTCTGGATCTTCCCAGCACAGGCGCAATTCTGAACTCGTCCACTGAGTTGCTGACAATGAGGATCCTTCCACTGCTCTTACTGTCAGTGTTCTCTCTGAAGTGTAAGTCAGAGACATTTCTCAGTTGAACTTGGATTTATTTCTTATTTATTTATTTCTTTTCCTTAAACTAACTGATTTGTATTCAGGGGAAATGTGATCCTAACACCAGCTTGTTCTTTGTTTGGTTTCAGATGTTCTCTCTGATGTAGTGTTGACCCAGTCTGGCCCACAAATAAAAAAGCCAGGAGAATCATTCAAAATATTCTGTAAAGCCTCAGGATACAATTATGGTGAATACACCATACACTGGATCCGACAGTCTCCTGCGAAGGGATTTGAGTGGTTGGGATACATTACTAGCAGCTACAGCACTGGCTATGCGGCTGCTGTCAAGGGGAAAATTGCCTTCACCAGGGACAATTCCAATAGCTTGGCTGATTTACAGATAAGCAACCCAAGTCCTGAAGACTCTGCTGTGTATTATTGTGCCCGAGAGCCACAGTGAGAGAACTGAAGCCTGAGTCTTGACAAAAACCACAATGTCATGGCTGAGCATACTGTACAGCACTTACTGTTCTCCCTTCACTTAAGAGTAAAAAAACCTACGGCTTTAGTAGGATTTGTGTTCAGTTGTATAGAAAATATACCAGTAGAAAACGGAATCAACAACTTTTTTTAAAGTGCCCTTTTACCTCACTCCCACACTATCTAATTGTAGAGTTTTATATGAAAAAGGAAGACATCCAACCACCTAACTCTACATGTCATTTATGAAGCCTCCCAGCAGTTTACCCACATCAAAGCAAAGTTAACAGCTGTAAAGCATGGTAGAAACAGATCATACAGACGGTTGATTTTCTGTCAGTCCCTTCTCTCGCTAAAACACGTAACAAGCAGAGGAGAAAAAAGAGTGTTGTTTTACAAACAAGAATTCTTCCTGTACTTGAAAACAAAAACAGTGTATTGTGTTTTGAACCGTTTGACACAAATGTTTCACGTCCCGCTTGCTGGAGCTACTGTACCCATCGCAGTCAGTTCCAATGTTCCCTTGACTTCAGGGACACCTGGATGGTTTTATTTCGTTGGTTACAAACAACAGTCCTTATGGTAATTGAAATCAAAACCAGAGTATTATGTTTTTAGCCAGTTGACAGGAATTCACCACATTTTTTACTTCCCTCTTGCTGGAGCTACCCGTCACGATCAGCCTGTGATGTGTCGGTTCCGAAGGTTTCACCACAGGGGGCAGCATTGCCTAAATGATTGCAACTTGTCCAGGGAATAAAGAGGCAGAGAAAACACACATGTATACAGCTCACAGGTCAAGAATAATAGTAATAATATCAGGGCCTCCCAGTCCTGTTCCCGAAGATTGTAGTACCCTCCGGGTGTTGATCCTAATGGACTGTTCGTTGGTTAAATAAGCTCTTAATTAAACTATTTGCCATCAGCCATATCACCCTGCAACTCACAGCTGGCAGCCCCACTGCAGCTCAGCAGGTGTGAGCATGGTCAACACCTGGATGGCAGATCTCCTGTGATAAACTAAAGCTGCTGTTAGAAGAGGTATTACAGGGCCAGTAGGGGGTAC